TTTTTAGCAGTTGTCTGAAACTAAGGAGTTTTGCGTTATGCGAATAAATTTTCTATGTATACACTAAACCATAATACCGCCTAAATGTAGCAACGTCATAGAAAATAATGTATTAGTTTTAGTTTATATTTGTATTGGAAAATTCCACAAACAAATAAATATATTATTATTATTATTATATAAATAAACAGTCATCATTTTCTGGAAAAAAATCATATTTTATTTTTTCATTATGCCATATTTAGTTCCTGTCGTAATCTCTTCTTTTATGTATATTACTTGTACAATGTGTTTCACATTTGCCAGGCGTCCCGTGGCGACTCATAATTTGTTTCGCGGACTATTCCTGTGTTGTTGTTGGAGGGTGAGGCTTAGGGGCAATAAAAGGTCTGCAGGGAGTATTTCTATTTAATAAAGGAAATTGTTGTCTAGGAATTTGTTGAAAGGTTTGGAGGTTGGTAAAGGATTGTCTTTGCATTGAACTAGCATTTTATCAAGGTGCCAAGTAATTTGTCTGTGGTTGTTGTTTTTGTGTATGAGTGTTGTGTGGGTGTGGCTTTTTGGATATACCTGCCATTTGCCTATAAATCTCTAATTTCTTGTTTTCATTATCTACTTCTTTACAATAATTAAGGTTCTGAGATAGTGAAAGTGGTCGTCTTATTTTTAAGTCAGAATAATAAGGTTCACCTACAGATAATTTGAAAGTGCTTCTTATAATGACTCATCAATGCGTTCTGGATCGGATCACCTTCAAAACTGCCTGCCAGTTTAGTTAAAATGACAACTAATTCGTTAGATTTCCTAACGCATGAAATTAATTAGTTAAATAACAAGTCCTCATTTTCTGGACATTTGAATTTTGTCGTAATAAAGGCCTTTAGGGTAGACCAATCACTTGGCTTTTCTACCAAATACGCAGATTCTGCTCTGTCGGTTAATTTACTTACCATGTGTCGAAATTTTAAATTTGTATAGGCCGAAGTTATGGTAAAGATATTTGCTTGAAAATTATCACGATCCGAAATAAACCTATCTACTTTTTCTAGAAAACCGTCAAATGGAGCGATGACTTCACCGATAGCTTTGATTAATTTTAAAAATTCGTGGAGAGATTCCATGCTGTGTAATAATTAAAGCGGAAAAGGGGAAAACGTTTTAACATCCTCCCATTACTCGTGATCTTTTAGTGGAACGTCCGTCAGGAATTGTCCAATCGAAAGTGAAGGACTCTTCAGCTGATCGACACGTTGTTCCAGAGGTCGGAAGTCTTTGCAAAGGTTCCAGATATTTCGTCAGCTACTGCGGCTGACATCCTCAGTAGCAGCGACTGGGTGGAGAGCTGGCTGATCACTGATCAGATCGGACTCATCCGATGAACACTCGGTGTATTCGAATGGTTTGTCAGTGTGTTCGGCGCTTTCTGCGTAGTTTTCTTTAGGACTGGGTACAATACTTTTTTCAAACGAAGCCCTTCTCCTTTTCTTTTAAAATTAATCGGATGTTTATAAATTTCAATAGCTTCTCTATGCAAGCGAGCGTAATATTGTGAAGTTGTAGATAAAACCGTAGTTCCGTCGTAGTTAATAACATGGTTCGGGTCTCCTATTGAATGCTCAGCTAGGGCTATTCTCGTTTTGATGCTGCGTTTTCTGGTAGCAACACGTAGACTCCTCGGCAGGAACAAGGGATTCTATAAACACCAGCGGATGTTAAAGGGTTTCCAGGATCTTTAGCTGTTCTTAATAAGGTTCGCAGCGGTTTGAAGAAGGTTCTGATGTTATGACGCTTCAGTAACTTCCAGATACAATCCGTGACCGTTTTAATGTATGGTAGGGAGGCGAAACCTACGGGCGGTGGTTGAGGTGTCTCTGGTGCAGTTCTCCTGGGATGAAGGGCACGTTTGATCTCCTGTGACGTATAGCCATTGGATTGAAGAGCTTGATCTAGATGGCGGAGTTCTTGATCTAAAAGAGAAGCTTCACAAATACGATTAGCTCGATGAATAACGGTTTTCAACATGGTTCGCTTCTGCGCTGGGTGATGATTGGAGTCTTTACTGAGGTAACAATCGGTGTGTGTAGGCCTGCGATACACAGTGTGGCCCAGGGATCCATCGGATTTTATGTTGACAAGTACGTCTAGTGTCCATCCATCACTTCCGAGGTGGATCACCTATTCCCGAATCCCCCAACACTTAACCATTTTCCCTTCTTAACCATCTCCCAAATCCCAACCATCCTTTCTTTTCCCGGGGATGAGTATCCTTAAGGGTTTATCTCCCCACTCGAGTAGGCGTTTTAGTCGGTAAAAATCCGACATTACCTTCCTTCAGGGGGTGTCTTTTGAAGATTTCCCCTCCTCGAGAATAATCTAAAAAGAAAAAACAGAGAGATATTACCAGTCCGCATTCAGCATCGGAGACAGAAGGGTCTCTGAAGAAGCGCGCCACTCGTACTAGTGAAACGTTAAGAAGCAACTCCAACAGACGACAGCCCTTAGACCCGAGTCAGAACAACATCAGTCTAACTCTGCATCAGCATAACTTTCTGGCTCTAGCACTCGATACATAAACATTTAGTAATTTTTGCCTGATTAGTCCTTTATACAACTCAGTTGTTTATGTTCTTCCATTCTATTAATTGTCCTTGCGAATTCTCGTTTTAGCGCTGTTTCCATTTTTTTCGACATTTTCAAACTTGACAAAAAGTTTCGCGGAACCAAGCAGATGACTTCTAGCGTACATAACCAACTAGACGTCTGAACACTGGCACATTTCCGCAACTTCTTTAAAATTAGCGATCCAGTACGCGACATTTTCGTAGTCATCATCGTTGAAAGTTTCAGGGGTATCTTCGACATCTTTGAAACTAAATATCGGCTGTGAGTAGTGCTTTGGTTGTCTTTTGCCTGACATCTCTCTAAGTAAACAATTCCTGAAAGTTGCAGTATCACCTTCGATTAATAATCCTTGCTGATGCAGTTTCTTTTTAACTCACTCTTTGATAGCGAATTAATCTTGAACGTCATCTCCATCGTCTTCAGCGCCGTCTTAGTCGTCGTCTTCCACGTCGTTCTGTTCGTCATTGTCCTCATCGTCACATTTATTGTCGTCAACATTGATGTTTGGGCATCATTTCTTTCTTCATCGTCTTCGTAATTGCCATTAGATTTGTCGGCATTATTTGTTGCTTATGCAGTCTTCTACAGAAGATCAATTTAGGATCAGCAGCAGGAATTCCTAACTCCTCTACCTTCATTTTTTGCAAGGTTACTGTGGTGATGATGTAAACAATAACAACACTCGAGACACACAGCAATAATGGTTTGTCTAACCACGTCTTTCTTTTTTTGTTCATCACTTGCTTTTCGATCGATTGATCTCAGTTGTGCCTCTAATTTTAGGGAATCAAAAGAGTTCGGAGATTATTTTACTTTATTAAATAATAAATAGAATTAAAGGAAAAGAATATTGTATGAAAAAGTAATGGTAGCTGTAATAATGTTACTCTCTCTCTCTGACTGTAACTCCTTATGCACCCTCGCATTATCCATTTAACCTAAGTAGAATACAGGTTTTCCTTCACCCACCCCCTCATCGATCACCTTCAGATTTATTACATACAACTCCTCAGCAATCGTCTTTCTCTTTCTTACACACACTATTCTAAGCATTCATATTCCTTTTTTTTTTTCGTGAATGTGTAACTGTTTAAAGGTGCAGCGGTCTGTTTTTTTTAGGATATAAGTTATTCTTTAATGCAGATTTAACTAACTGGCAATGCCTTATCAAACAAGTTATCGGATCTTCGTGCAGCGGATAATTTCCTCCAGGAAGAATAAAGGTACGACCGTTTAACTTAATCTCCCTCAAGTGGCTTTTTCAGCATAAGTTAATTGAACAGTAGTTATGCTGAATCTATAATATATGTATAAGGGAAAACATGTGTTTTAATGGTAAGCCTCTCCTACGCCGAGCGACTCCCTCTGAACTATGCTACAATGCCATCAATGTTTTTATAAAAGAAAGGTATATCAAAGTCTAAATTACTCATTTGAATCTCCTCAAAAGCTTCCATTATCAAATTAGCTAAAACACAAGAAAGAGGTGCATTCATTAAGGTTCTAAATGTTTGTAGATTTTATTCTAAAAAAATCGTCTTTGGGCAAACAAGTGAATTCACTAATTTCTCTCCATTTATTCTCTATGATTTTACTAACCAAGTCTAAAAGAATGTTTGTAAAAATGAAAAAATTCTTGATTATAAAGTCAATGCTACTTCTGATGTGGTTATCTTTTTTTTCCGTGACTATTTAAAACTTCGTGGTAATACTTCGATAAATTATAACTTGGGCTTGTCACAACTGAGATGATTGGTTGTTTTTGTGTATCTCTGCCTAAGATAATTGGGTCAAATGAGTAATTTACACTTGGATTTACCTTTTTTCAATCATACTCGCTTAGAATTGAATAAAAATTTTGTTCATTGCTGATAGCATGCAGTACTATTGCAAGTACACCTTGATATGGTATTAAGAACACAAAAGAAAGAAAAAGCTAACGTTATGTAAATTTTAATAGGTAGGTAAATTAATATCCTCTAGACAGGTAGTAGTAATTTTATTAAATTGGTGCGTTACAATTGTTATGGGTGGTTCCCCTTTTTAGGTTGAAGCTTCCGTTTAGATGATTCAGTGAATTCTCTAATTCGAAGACGTTGTTTTTATTTTGTTATTACTGGGTTTCCCACCTCTAGTCTCTTTTTTTCGTTGTAATCGAGGATGAGGTGAAATATCGTATGGTGACACATATTTAATTAATGGTTAGGAATTAGGAACGTAATACAGTTATTCAGGGCTTTCGTCTTTTACGTAGTTGTTTTTCATTTGCACCGGCGAATGGAGCCAAGCGATTAAAATGGACTACCATCGGCTTCCCATTTGAAGTTTTCTTAATTCGCTAGCTGAGGTGGTTAATCCTCTTCACTATCTCATAGAGTCCCTCCCAATTCTGTTGGAACTTAGGTGATAGTCCACGACGACGACGAGAATTATACAACCAAACAAGATCTCCAGTTTGGTAACCACCTGCTGTAGCTTTGATATCGTAGTTTTCTTTAATCATGTCACTAGCAATATGCGTATGCAAACGAACCGACTCGTGGATATTGTTAAGCTTTCTTCGGAGGTTTGTAACATAATCTTCATCAGTCAAGTCATCTCCTGGCTTACAGCCGAATTTGAGGTCACAAGGTAGTCGTAACTCCCTTCCAAAAAGGACACTGACAGGCGTTTCGCTAGTCGTTTCGTGAACAGATGAACGGTATGCCATTAAAAATAAAGGTAAATAGCGGTCCCAGTCCCTTTGGTGATCAGACACTACCTTGGAGAGATATTTAGTCAAGGTACGGTTCATTCGCTCAACCATGCCGTCCGATTGTGGATGGAGTGGAGTGGTTCGAGTTTTAGAAAATACTACAAACGGCGCAGTAAGCGCCATCTGTAGCACGATGCTACATTTTAGGATTACGTATGCTCCAACAAGGTCCACTTGTATGGATATCTACTTACTGAAAACGAATCCCGGCGTAGCCAACCTCAACGTGATAGGCACGTTAGCTTAATCGAATAAAATAGACCACTTCGAATTATTTTATTTTGGTTCGAGTTTCTTTATTCCTAGGAGCTCGCATATTCCACGGAATATAACCGATTCGAAATTCCTCCCTTGATCTGAGTGCAATTCCCAGGGCACCTCAAAACGACTAATCAACTCTTTCACCAGCTCCTCAACTATCGTTCCGACTCCTGGTTCGGAAGGGCATTGGTTTTAACCCACTTGGTAAAATAGTCCATAACGACCACGATGTACTTGTTACCTTTCTCGGATTCTGAGAATGGACCCGCCGCATCGATTGCGATTCGTTCGAAGGGGCCACCGACATTGTATTGACGCATTGGCGCCCTTGGCCTTTTCTGTGGTCCATTACTCGCGGCAAAGGTGATACACGTCTTACACCAATTCTTGACATCTTCCTTACAGTTCACCCAATAAAATCGTTCTCGCACTTTCCCAAGCGTCTGATTCACTCCAAAATGGGCACTAGATGGTCCATCATGAAGATACTACAACACCCCTCTAACATTGTTTCGAGGAATAACCAATTGCTTCCTATCTTCCTCTCCATCTGGACTTTCAACAACTCGCTTCAGGATGCCAACCTCCAAAACCATTGAGTCCCACTGAGTCCATAACGGTTTTAGTACATGGGTACAGGAAGAAATTTGCTGCAACGTTGGCATCAATTCTTCCAGCACTTCTATCTTCTCTTCTGTTTCTTGAATATTCTTATTAAATTTTTTTTCCCATTTATTCCCTAAACTTCTACTGTTTTCTTCCAATTCACGTTTCAAACTTTCACAATTTTTTTCCACTATATTTTCCAAACTTTTACTATTTTCTTCCAATTTATTTTCCAAACTTTTACTGTTTTCTTCCAATTAATTTTCCAAACTTTTACTGTTTTAAAATAATTCGAAGTGCTTTGTATTCTGTCGAAACTGCCAGACGCGGATCGCGATTTCGATCTTTTTAGATCTCATCAGCGCGTCGCAGGCAGCTCCGACAGAACACAGACCAACTTTTACCTGCTGTCTTAACAGTGCGTTTTAGAAAATACAGTTGGTCTGTGTTCTGTCGGAGCTGCCTGCGACGCGCTGATGAGATCCAAAAAGATTGAAATCTCTTTAATTTTTCCGGCGCAAGGCGTCGAGCACGTTGCATTATGGCATATATATAATACTCCTATATTGCTAGTTGGGTCTAGAATACGATGCCGACCCAACGGTGCAGACATATATGTGTCTCTCTCTTAACTACTTCGAGTATTACGCGCATGCTCGGCAATTGAACATGCCTATAAGCGCGCACCATTTACCCCGCCAGACTCGTGACGATTACGCACAACGGGTCGAGTAATCTAAAAAGAGAGAAAAGTAGTGGTTTTTTGATTCACTTACCCCGTTACACTTCCACTTACGGGAACTAGCAATATAGGAGTATTATATACGAGGGTGGATTGATAAGTTTCCGGCCTAACCAAGAGATGACGCCACTAGGCCTACCTTGAGGTGACATTCTATAGTACCATCCTTGGATAGCTTGTAGCTATAGTTTCAGCCCGATCTCCTTGCTAGTGTAGGTTTGACAGCACGCTGAACAAGACGCCTCTGTGGTTTT